TTTTTTTTTTTTTTTTTTTTTTCCATACAGGGGGCCAGGGTCCCGGGTGCCGACCCCCGGAACCCCGGAACCCCGGCGGGGTCCCGGGGCCGGGGGTCGACAACCCTGGTGGTAGAGCTGTCGGAAGGTGGATAACAGACGGCGATAAAACCATGCGAAATATAGGCGGTGAAGACGGGGGGGATGAAGTCAGGGGTGGTGAAGTGGCTGAAACAGAGACAGGGGGGGCAGTTGTCGGTGAGACCCGAAGGGGGGACTCTGCAAGTGGTAATGCAGGCATGGTCACAGATGCCATGGAGGAATGCACCGAGACCAAGGGCGACAAAGCAGCTGTGGTGGTCACGGATGCCATGGAGGAACATACCAAGACCAAGGGCGACACAACAGCTGTGGTGGCACCGGATGCCATGGAGAAACACACCGAGACCAAGGGTGACACAGCAGTTGCGGGTCGAGTTGCTCCCGCGGAATCAATCGTAGAAGCAACCAAGGCCGATGAAGAAGAGGTTGCGAACCGAAAAGGGGCAGCCAGGATCACAAACGGCATGGAAAGGGTTACTAAGACTGATGAGGACACAGGTGCAGTAGACATAGGTAATGAAGAAGAGGCTGTGATAGGTTTGACAGGCGCCGATAATGAAGAAGGGGCTGTGACGGGCGTAGTCCGAGGACAGTGTGTGGATACCCGAGAAAGCGGGTGATGAATAGACCATCGAAGCATGCTGCGGAACCGGCTGGAGAGGCGGGTCACATGCGCGGGGRACCTGTGTTGTCGTTTACGAATATAGGAAGTCCATCCTTTCGCAAGCGTTGTTGGAGAGTGCCCGCGAAAAAGCATGCGGCGTGTGAGCATCGCTGCTGCAGTTTTGAAATCATACCAGTTGTTGCAGACATACTCAAACCTAGTAAGCTGGCCTGTAAAAACTCCCGCCGGCTGGTGTGCAGGGACTTTAGACGTATCACTAGGAGAACGAATAACAGGGAAATTCCATTCAGCTGCTTTGTCAAAGACACTCATACACAGGGAACCGTCAGGGCGAACTTGGAGGCGTGCACCTAAGAATGTGCAAGAGCCATCAGGCGTTGTGGTCTCCTTCCATTCAAGGCCATACTGTTCTGAATGTGGTGGCAGATGTCCCCATGAGAGAACATCATCGATCAAGTGGTATGTGAACGCATACCATTAAGCTGCTCAAAGATCACACTGCTGGAGGTCATCAACAAATCGAGCCTCATCCCAATACAGCGTCAAATTAGCTATCTCCGGACCAGAATTAGTCACCATCGGGATGCCAATCAGCTGATGTCGCAAGGTGCCGTCCGCTGCATAAAGATACGTGTTTGTCACAATGAAATGGAGATGTTCAAGAATTTGGGAACGGTCAAGGTGTTTGGTCCGGTATCAACCGTCCACTCCCCTTGACGGGGCCCTTTAACAATCATGTTAAGGGTAGGAGGATGTGTGCGCCCCTGTGCGTGTTGTTGCAAGGCATATGCATAGGCTTCCTCATGCAGCAGACATGCCGCGGGCGACTGGTACCGGTCAGAAGCAAACCAAGGCTAGGTCAATCAACTATTAATAGCTGCTACAGAGCAGCCCACAATATCTTTTGTCCGGCGCGAGATGTAAGCGCTGCGCTGCTGGTTGTTTGTGTGACCTCAGAGCTTGACTGTGCGCCAGAGGGCCTGCTGGGCGCGGGTTAAGGAAGGAGAAGGCAGCCATAGCTGGCATAGCTGAAGTTGCAGATGAAGAAGAGTGGATGTATCCAGGGTTACAATCCAAGTAGTAGCAGAGAGAGAGAGAGAAAGAGAGAGAGAGAGAGAGAGAGAGAGAGAACATACCCGATTGAGGATGGTTGTTGCATGTGCTGAGGAGCGCTGGTTACTGTTGTTGACTGCGCTGATGAGCACTGGCAATCTGAACTCCGAATTTGTATAATACGAGTATTTTTCATTGAAGTTTATGAGCTCGGCCGATTTGGTATTCCATAGCTGACTTTGGTGTGAACCTTCCCTGTGAGCTTTCATTGTGCATGTGTGGAGAGTGAATCAAATAAGCAGTTCATTGCAATCAACTTCAACCAGGTGAGCATACTTCGTACACATTTACAACCCCTAGAATCGTCGTCGCTCATGTTGAAATGTATATTTGTCTTCCTAACAATCCCCAATTACGCCATCTTTACACCTGCCACCATGCCGTCCCTCTTTCACTTCCATTACACAAGCGCTATTGTACATTCACAGCAAATACTTTCAATTGCGTCCCTGTCCTTTCAATTGCATCCCTGTCCTTTCCTACTGCATGCGAAGCTGCACTGGCTCTTCTTGTATCACTCAAAGCTGCTAGCACACTGAATAGAAAAATGTCAAATAGTACGATCTAGACAAATTCTGATTTCACATTCATGCCGTCCCTCGTCTTTGCAAGGATTCTAAAAGCCTGCGTTGGCTTATCAAAACGCTTGAAGCAATCATTTCAAAAAACAAGTGATGGAGTTTTGGTCACATAATGACTCGAATTGATCAAAGGTAGCGAATGCATTAAGCATTGCTCTGCGTAATGTGCACTAGCTCGCGATCGACCACCAATGACTTTTGAGCGAAGCGTATATGGCTTTCTCTATGCACTGCAGAACTGGTACCGTTCAGCCACAGATCAACATTTTGCAGACGGGAATGCGGATTGAGAGCAGAACACAGGAAAACGCACAGCAAATACAACCACCTCCCCACAGCTGCCCACAAATCCACAAGAGGCTTGGAAACGAAGTCCAAAACTTTCCTCACCTTGTCTCAGTCCTATTCACATCTTCTTGCAACAATAGCCATTGCTTCTGACAAAACAGCCAATAGACATAGACAAGTCAAAAAAGAACAGCAAGGTCTGACCATTGCCAAACCCTCCCGTATTATGTACAATAGCAAAGAATCCGGCCACCTCTCTCTCTCTCTCTCTCTCTCTCTCTCTCTCTCTCTCTCTCTCTCTCTCTCCGAAAATGAAACCTCGCCACTGTCCTCTTCAGCAAATCAACCGCTGTCAGCCATGCCATTGATAACTTCACAGCAGACAGACGTCAACCTGAGCTTTCCTGACAGGAGGCACTTCTATACTGATAAAAAATCCTCAGTGGCAGTAAAGGGTCACTTGACGGCTGCTCTCCTCTATCCGCACTCACTCCCCAGAGGTTATGCTGTATTTTGCAGCTATTCTGGCCCTGCAAGGTTATGCTGTAACAGAGAAGTAGATGCTGACTGTCTTGTACAGATGTGCGAAAGTTAGTGCCATCTAAATATGACGATGCATGACGTTCTATTTCTGGGCAGGTTGAAAATCTAGCAGACCTTTCAGTGAGCAGTATGGACAAGATAAAAGGAACGCAGTGGGACAAAAATTGCAGGCTTCCAGTGCCTATCAGCCTTCCACAATCAAAAGCACATTCACACAAGGGGATCTAACCAACATAGGGTGATTTTAACTGCACCTGGGCTAAAAGGTGAGCAAACTACGGCTATAATGACAGTCCTTTCTATTCACGTGAAGACAGTATGTGTAAACGGATTGGCTACGGAGAAGCATCAATGCCTCCCTCTGAAACCTCCGGGAGAGAGAGAGCGAGAGCGAGAGCGATGATTGAGCCCACCACCATATGGGCGTGGCGATCCCAATCGGAGAGGCGATCGTGACCTGAATCGCAAGGGAGATCGTGAGCGGGGTGGAGGGGAAAACCGTCTTGGAGACCTTGAGTGCTGAGGAGAATACTGCGGCGAGCGTGACCTACCATACCTCATTGTCCCACGGTAGGGAGAATACCGAGGCGATCGATCGCGGCCCCTGTACGGAGAGTACCGAGGCGAGTATCGTGGTGATCTTCCACGCCCCCCTCCATATGGAGAGTATCTTGGTGAACGCCTTTGGTGAAATCCATCTCGACGCCCACGTCCAAAGTCGCCGATTGCTGCAGGCAGTGCAACAAAACCGTTTCGTCAGTGGACTTTTTCAAATTAGTTGCGAGTGCAACACGACGATGCAAGTATCTGCCTGATTAATGAACATCACAAACTGCATTGTTAATAAAAGCAATTGACAGGACAGATTCTGCTGGGCAAAACAATGTTAGAGGCTGCACCGTTACCAAAGCAAACGAAAGAGAAACAGAAAAAGCGAAGGGACACATTCTGAAGCAACAGCGGTCAGCACACTAAGAGCCTGGACTTTCTGCGACAAGGTTGCTCTTTACACAAAGCAAAACCCCGCTCCGTGAAACTGCATGCAAGAAAGAACTACAACCGAGTAATAGGATAACTGAAGCAAAGCGCAACCCTTGCATCATCATAACATAAAACATAGTCCTACCTTTCCTTCGATGTGAAAATGGCATTTATCTTCCTTTCACCCCTTCGCAGCCCATGCAATAGTGGATAAGATCAGAAACCCTTTTCTTTTTTTTCTTTTTTTCTTTTCTAGATTGGTTGCAGTAGTAGTAGTAGTAGTAGTAGTAGTGGTAGTATGCACTCATATGCCTCACACTACCCATCCTGATATGTAAGTCCAGTTTGCAATCGGTTGCAGTTATGGGTTAACTCTCCCTAATAATTCCCAGCCTCTGCTCTATGTGGGGAGAAGTACCCAAGCTCCTAACACCCGGCACGAGCAGGAAAGGGAGACACAGACCCTTCCACAACCAGCCAGGAGGCCTAAGCCGATTATATCGACTGGTGAACCCGAAGGCGTATCACAGGGGGTCATGGGAATGAAATGGATGAAGTGGGGAATCGAACCCGATTCCCCACGGCCCCCTAAACAGTGAATATCACTTACGTGCTCAACCAACTGAAACCCTTTTTTCATTTTCTATCCATTTCACAAAATTCAGCACTGTTTTCTGCTTTCCACACACCAGCAAACCACCCAAATGTTTGGGTGTATCCACGACAGAAACAGGCATCACCAACTGGCCTAGCTCAGATTCTACACACATATGATCTGTGTACATATGATCTGTTTGAAGTTCGAACCCATGTATCATGTTCACATATGATGAGTTGCCCACATAAGTCATGAGCGAAAAGGGAACCCAGGCAGGACATGACCTGGTATGAGTGGGCCCACACAACTTTTCTTGAGGGTCCTCCCGCGACCAAATACTGGTTGAGAAACAACAATGGACAGAAACTTCCGCAGAAACTTCCCCCATTGAGTATTGACTTTGGGACCATTCTCAGAACATGTGCTGTCCGATTCGTAGCACTGCCTCTACACTGCTATGGAAAACAAACCCCAAGGGGCAACCTTTTTCCACACTTTTCTACATTACCATGACAGGCTCCATGCACCTGTGCACCATCCTGACTTCATGCATTTGCCAGCATCTAGGGTGTGCGTACATTTTCTGTGGTCTGACGACTGTTGTGTAAGGGGTTAAGGTGACGACCCGTGGATATTGCTCACCTCGGACGCCAAGGTATTCGCCTGGAGTGGGTGTCCTTGCTCGCTTCCGCTTTGCCTGCACAGCTTATCACGCACAAATGAGACGAAGGAAAAGACGCAACGAGGCAAAACAAACATAAAATCACCCCTAATATACCCGCATTGCAGTCAGCAGACTCACCCCACCAGTTTATTGCAAGCCAACCAAGCAATCAAAGCCCCCCGGAACAACTACCAAGCTTGGCAGATACAGACATAACTTCGGAAGGAATCCCATAATAGGCGCAAAAGGGAGTATCATCATGCTCTCCATCGCCAGAAAAAAAAAACGAGTAGCATCATGCTCTCCATCGCCAGAAAAAAAAACGAGTAGCATCATGCTTTCCATCGCCAGAAAAAAAACTATCTTACGAGGTTCAAACAAGACGACAGTTTCAGCAGAGCAATAAGCATTATCGATGCCTGGAAGACTTGGTAAGAAAAACAAGGCCCTGGCAAAATGCTGAGTAAACATCAGACAAGCACATGCACGCTGCCAACTCCAGACGGACAGAAGACTCAGAAACTGATACACTTCTTTACATTCACAAGCATCATGACGTGGCAGGGATCAGAGGGCAGAAAAAACTCCACCAGTCAAATCCTGATGATGGAAACAGGGTTGCAGTGGAGGAGTGAACCCGCAGCTCGCAGCAACATGGCTCCCCTGCTTTGCGAAAGTTGTTTGGTGCAGAGTCGAGGCTGGGTGTGTGTTAACGTCGGAGCGGACTTTACGCATTATTTACAACAATGGCGGCCAGGTTTTTGTCTCTTCAATCGAGAACCACCACTTGAATTGCTCGATACACGTCAGGTGCTGCTGAAGAGCGTGACAACAGCAGCCGGAGCCAACCCTGATCCATGACCGTGGGGCCAAAGCCAATCCTGGCAGTGGGACATATGGTACTGACGGGACGGCTGACGACAATAGGAACCCAAAGGGTTGAATAGACGATGACCACGCCCCTGCCGATGGAGTTTTGACGAAGACCAAACATCCTGGATTACTGGCCTCCCACCTTGGAAAATGGTACCGCAATAAAGGCGGAGATGGAAGGAAGTTGTCGAACGTTCCCTCAGCGCACCGCAGTGAACTGCCTAAGAAGGTAAGAATGCAATCCCACCTTGGAAATATCAATCACAAACCTTTTCCAAAACAACACAGATTGTAACCCTCCTCAAGAAGAGGATTACCAAGTCTGTTAAAATAGCATATCATGCACTGCTTGTAGATGATTCATTGCTTGCAACATCATCTGGCGTTCGTAGGATGTTTCCAGGGGAGGCCACATCAGACTCATTGTCACAGAAAACTCCGATCAACCCTCCCCTCTCGCTACAAATCACAGAGACGCCGACGCACAAATGTTACACAGACGCCAAACCAGAACTGTTACTTCCCCAATCACAACCCGACACTTCAACTCTCATCTCTCGCAAAGAAAGCCTCCCAGTGCCAGAATGGCCAGAACCCAAACCTCCCCTATCGTCACAGTCAAAGACCATTCCACTTATGCTGAAGTGCTCTCTCTCTCTCTCTCTCTCTCTCTCTCTCTCTCTCTCTCTCTCTCTCTCTCTCTCTCTGACATGAGTGTGCAAGTAGCATATGATGGTGACATGCTCCACACAAACTCCTGAAAGAGCTTCCCTACATGTCCTGAAATAACCCTTGCAGTGACCAGCAGGCCAGCAGGCACCAATATTCTCGCAGGTATCCTCTACAGATAGGAACTCCTCTCTTCTCAAATCATTTCACTCTCCGGTCCCCATTTGCGGAAACAACCCATGAATCCTCGTGATGTGTTATAAACAACACCATGAGCCTCAGCCTTTCAGGTAAGTTAATCCTTGGTGGTTCTGAATGCATTCATCTTCTTTTCGCACTTGATTAGCGTGCCACACACCTGACGAGTTGGCAGAGAATGTAATGCAGTCAGTCAAATCACACTTCTTCCTACCAAGAAATTCACCCAACCCTTCTTCCCTCCTGCATCGATGGATGCTACCGATATACTTCGCAAGGGACACTGAATACTCACTGAATACTCACTCGCTGCTGTCGATGTGTGGTCGGTTGTTTGGTTGGGGACGTTTGGTTGGATGATTGGTTGGATGATCGGCCGGTTGGATGGCTTGCTCACACCCTTCCGATGCCGCAGTTCAAAACTCCCGTTCGTTCGGTAATATGGTGGCCGAAGCAGACTAAGACAAATAGTTGAGTTGGTGCCGACCGTGGTTTTGATTTGGGTGACATCCTCTGGATGACGAAGACCAGAGCGGTTTAAGTCAATATCGCGAATTCAAAACATCAACGACAAGATTAACAACAAATACCAACAGCAAAAGCAGAAACGAAAAAGAAAGTCGGAATAGGAACGAAAAAGCACAGCATTATTGCCACTGTTAAGGCAGGCCAATAGTTCCCAACAAATTCCAAGTTCAACCGACTTTTCTCTAATTCTCTTTCCCCCTCTTAAGCTTTCAGCACCAAGGCCATTCCCATCTCGGTTTCGCATCCACCCAAAAATTAAATGCTTCCACTACGCTAGCCTTGCCCGAGAACAACGCGTTGACTCCCCACACAAAAGTATGGCAGGGGCTACTAAAATTATATTCAACAGAATGGCCATCCATCCACACCGCAAACACTACCGCCTTCACAGTAATAGAGTGCCCATTCATGATACCGTATTTTCGGCAGCTGGCAATCCACATGCAAAGATCATGAACGGGAGTTACATTCAAGTGAAAACACTAGGAGAGCCCTGATACACATATACATTCACTGTCTGCACCCCGTTTCTGTACCCTCATTTTCCGGGCACCCTCTCTCCAGCCCCCACACAGACATAGAAACCACTTCACTACCCACCCTCTTTCCGTGCCCCTTTCCCCCCAAACGTATAGTTTGTTTATAGACCATCCTCTCCTCAACCCACGCACACACGTACAAATCACTTTGTTTATGTACCTCATTTTCCAAGCATTCTCTCTTCAGCCCACACACACACATACAACCACTTCACGATCCNTCTGGAACAGTCGGAGAGAACGTCTCCGTGAAAAAGGGATACTCCCCGTGGTGAGGGGACAGGAGGTCACCATTTGTAAAATGGACAGGGACGACGCGGATGGCCAACTGCATTCATTGCCCAAAGAAGGACACGAGTTTGATGCCAGACAGCCAACACACAGCTGTCAGAGTTCCTCCGTTTCAGGATGCAATGAGGCTGTCTCTTATACACATCTAGATGTGTATAAGAGACAGCTTCAGCCCACACACACACATACAACCACTTCCCGATCCCCCCCCCCCCCCCCCCCCTCCCCTTCCCAAACATATAGTTTGTCCTCTCCTCAAGCCACACACAAATACAAATCACTTTGCGGTCCGCCCCCTTCCTGCTCCCCCCCCTCCCCCGTCGCCCAAACATATACCCCATTCACAGACCATCCTCCCCCCAACCCATACACACACACATACACCTGCTCTTTCCACCACCCTCTGACAAGAGAAACTAGGTGGGGGGCAACCTGATACAGAGTAATAGACAGAGCACTGTGAACAGCACTCGAAAACCCAAATTTACCATCCAGGACTCCCCTTTGGGGGTTCTTTTCACCTCTCCCTCATCGTACTTTTACTTTTTTGCTATTGATTGCCCAGGAGTAGACGTTACACAGCATATGTGTGAATTGACCCTGGCTCAGTTCACCCATTGGAGACATTTTTGATTCCACAGAGACAAATGCACTATCATCTTGTTAACATAATATATCTGCATATGGTGCAGACTTCTTTCTTAACCTTTCTTTTTCCCCCCAGGAGCCATGCTTATCTTCTCTGTATCGTTCCAATCGTAACGGACATCCCAAACGACACGTCTTTCTTATAGCTTGAATTGCTACCCGCAATAGACTTTGTTCTTTGTTTTTGCCTCTCTCTGATTCTCCCAGTTCTACCGCCTCGGTAACAGCAAACTTTGGACTGCTTCGACACTGTTGACTTTTTTTGGTCAACTCTGAGACCAAAAAAGTATACTGACATAAAATGATGTCGGTATATGCCAACACTGCTGATATATTGACATCATAGCACTACACATTTTCCCACAGGAAAGGCTGATTATATACTTAATAAATACTTATATAGAATATATACCCACAGGTCACACACGTGTAGAGACCAGAGCTATTGCATCTGGCAAGCCTGTCATGCTTGAAGCTTGGATCATGTGCAGGACAACATGTAAGGAGATAAGGCCATGCAGTAAGGCAAGGGATTGCAAATCCTTTATCCCCAGTTCGAATCTGCGTGTCGCCTAATTGAATATGAAGTTATTATAAACAAAATAGGTCCATTCAAAAAACTATTTCATTTATTATAATAGGAACGACCAAAAAGTGAAACAAAACCACAGTTGAAGTGATATCAACCGGGCGAAGCACTCCAGCTCCTACAAAGAGAAATACAGACAAAAGGGAGAGAAGAGGATCGTAGGGTGAGTGGAGGAGGAGGAGGAGGAGGAGGGGAGATAGAGAGAGAGATGGAGGGAAGGTGAAGAGGGAAAGAGGTAGGGAAAGATGCAGAAGGTGAATCAAACAACATAAACAGATTTTGTGGATCTTTTCAACCTTGAACAAATTCTCACAAAGTTCTGAGCATGCATGTCCCCAGCCTGCTACCCTCCAACCCAGCTTACTCCTTGGGCAGATTCTTCTGTTGAAATAGATCTTGACTTGTAGCACAATGTTACGTCTAAGATCATTTAAGAGAGGAGACGAAGGGGCATGGAGGGGGAACATAAATCAGACAGTCAAGAGGTCATGACCTGCAGAGGCCATTCCTCCACGGTTATAATTTCTCAGATACCGTAATCCAGGTTGCCGAGATCGAGGAGGTCAGGACCTGACATTGTAAGGGAAAATTAATGAAGTACTCAAAGAGATAGTGAGCCGCCACTACCTTTCACAGGCAACGTCTAAACACAAAAGTGAATCATTCTGTAAACTTCAGAGGCTGGGCGCTGTCGGGCCAAAATGGCCGGCAGCACCAAAAAAAACTCGCATTCCCGCTTCAGCAAAAAGCTTGGCACACAGTTCTTTTCCACCTCGGCAAAAAGAGGGCTCGGAGGTCGTGGTGGTCTAAAGAAAACATTGCATTAAAGCACCAGTGTACATGCCAGCTATCGGCTGCGGGCCCCTTTAGGAGGCCAACCGCCGCCAACTCATTTTATCTACAGCGCTCGGCCTCCTAAATTTTCGGAGACACTCAAAACAGGTTCTCCAGTTGCCTGGGACCAGGTACTGGTGGTTTAAACCAGCAGTTCACACGAACGGAAGGTGTTGGTGACCCCACCTTCCAAGGCTCACAAGCTTCCTGCCACATCCACGCTTTGCGAGCGCAAACATAGCACCGGTGGCCCTGGTCCTCAATACCAGGACAGGTACGTGCCGAGCACATTGCACGTGCACCTGTTTCCTCCTCCGGCGTTGTCCAGTACCATGGTCACACATGCTGGCCCAGGGTCATTTTTCTTTCCTAGGCCAGAACCAGCCCAGACCTAAGGCAAAATGGCACATATACGGCCATCACTGGCACAAAAACCGATCGAGTCCAAAAACAAAATTGCCAAGTGAGGAGTCCGCTAGCAGCCTGTCCCATCTGGCACCAATCCGACTACCACTCCGCCTCATCTTGGAACCAGAGAACCCACCACTATGCCTCATCCCAGCCATCTGGTCTTTAGGAATCTCTATCTTGGGACCAGGGAACCTACCAATGATGTGTGTCCTATTCTTACCGGCCCACGGCCCAGATTGACCGAGTTGTCGTCGGTCTTACCGGCCCACGGCCCAGATCGACCTACGTTGTCCATCCGATGCAAATTACCATCCATCAAAACTTGAGACATCGACACTAAGGCCGTCGTTATTTTCTTTGAAGGATAGAGATACCTATTTTGTTGGCAATGTGTGAAAGAGTCAGACCTGAAGTGTGCGGCATGGTTAAACCATCCACCAGTACACCCGGGCCTGGTGGCGGTGCAGTGTGCACCAAGCTTTGCCAAACAGCCAGCAGTGCACTTCTTTGTTTTTTGGCTGACGCCGCCAGCCATTCTGGTCCAATAGCCCCAAGCCTCCGAAATATTAGGAGTGAGCCATGAATCTTGCAAGGACGCCAAATGTGCGATTTCCATTCCGAAATACAAGGGGGATATAACAAACACAGAGAGAGACAGGAAGAGAGATCAGACTCCCTTCCTTCCTCCATCCCCTGGTACACACACACACACACACACACACACACACACACACACACACAAACACACACACACACACACACACACACACACACACAAACACACACACACACACAGAGGGAAGCAAACACCAGTGTGAAACCACCAGTTGTGTGAGCCTTTTTTCCTTAACCCGCTTTGCTGCCCAACGCCAAAAAAAGAACGAACCGGCGTGGGTGCGAAATTGTTAAGCGCCGCCACCCTTTTCCGTCAGGTAGACCCGTTCCATGATTTTGCAGTGTGTTCACCGCATGGCGGAACAAGATAGTTGGGAAAGGGACTGGTGGTTTAAATGCACTGCTGCCAATTGCAACAACCACTTTTACAGAGCAGGGTTGAAGAATTACAAAGACAGTCCTACTCTGCTTGTACCTGCATTCCACAAGGCTAAGCAAGGGTTGGGGGGGCTGCAGGGGCTGGGGAGCGGGTGGGTGGATGGGGGAAATAATTAGTACTTCACGCTTTCATCGAGCAGCACTCACCTTCTCTACAGTAATGATCCGCCCCTCAAGTGTAGATCTGTTCAAATACTTTATGCACCTCTCAGCATCGTCCACCGTTTCCATCGTTACAAACCCAAAACCTCTCGATTCACGAGTTCGAGGATCCACGACAAGTCGACATTGCTGAACCTGCACATGCATGAACACATCTGTGCTTAGTTATATGGAATCCATGTCAGGTCATAAAATCGTACAATTGTCAAGAAAGTGTGTTGGCCCCAAAAAACTGAGGGGTTGGCATGGGGGAGGAGGGGGGCACGTAGGGGAGTGCCAAAGGCGAGGGGGAGGGGCTGTCTCTTATACACATCTAGATGTGTATAAGAGACAGCGCCTGCAGTCGTCAAAACCGTCAGGCAGTCGTTGAGTAGAAGCTCGAAATGGATAGATAGATGGAAAGACAATAGATAAACGGACAGATAGGTGCATGGAGAAAGAACTGAAGACAGCAATCCATAGATTTTTTCTCACATTCATGAGACTGCCGAATAGGCCATTGGCCCGAAATTCTTCATAGCTACCTTCTTCACCCAAATACCCCGTACATACGGTCATTATAGCTGTATTTGGGGTATCTTTCAGTCTATATACAGCAACAATGACCATACGTTGTATTCGGGTGAAGAAGGTGGCTGATACACAATAGAGGAGAGGACCTGAAACCTGCATGGCAGGAGGCAATTCCAAACACAGGAGAATCCCACAGCATTGCCACATGGACAAGTCATCTGCAAGACAGCTGGCAATTTCAAACACAGGAAAATTCAGCAACGTTGCTGCCACTGTGTTCCCACAATAACATCTAAAAATAGATCCAGTGTATTTGACAATAGCTCCTTCTTTAATGGCGGTAGTATTGCTACCAAACATCACATGTCCTGCACTCTCATTTCTAGATTCAGTGTCATTACTTGTTGAGCGCAAAAGCGGTGGTTTATCCCTCACCTTCCCCTCCCTCATGAAGTGCTCCTCGAGCTCCCTTTCGGTCACCCGCGTCGACAGGCCCGTCACGTACAGGTTGTTCCCAGGATTCATGGCATCAGGTTCCCTTGCACCATTCATGCTCCTGCATCCAGAAGCAATAATTCAAAAGGCAGGGAGAGAAGAAGAGATGCAACAGGGACAAGATACCACAATTTTGATTAAAAAAAGAAAAAAGAAAAAAGAAAAGCCACAAAATAGCACAATTCAAACCAATCAGCACCTCAGGAACCTTGTCCATCTAAGCAAGGTCGTCACAACCCTCCATTTGAGCAAACTACTGTGGTGAGGATGCTACATCCATTCCTTGTTGCACAATCAATCAATTCAATCAAGCTCAAGTCCAAGAAGATCTACTTAACCAAGTACAAGTACAAACACTTTGGGGGGCAAAGAGGAGACGGGTGGGGGAACAACTGCACTCACCCTATTAGGAATCTGTCTCTTATACACATCTAGATGTGTATAAGAGACAGCGTCACAACCCTCCATTTGAGCAAACTACTGTGGTGAGGATGCTACATCCATTCCTTGTTGCACAATCAATCAATTCAATCAAGCTCAAGTCCAAGAAGATCTACTTAACCAAGTACAAGTACAAACACTTTGGGGGGCAAAGAGGAGACGGGTGGGGGAACAACTGCACTCACCCTATTAGGAATAGGTTATTAGGTCAAACCAATGAAGTCCACCAAATGGAATGAATGGTAGATCACAGAGGATTTGAATGGGACAGAGGGTTCATAGTACCTAGCTAAGAGAATCAGCAGACCGAACAGAGCCAAAATTGACAGACTTTTTTAGTTAGTCCAGCGAGCACTCAATCAAGGCCTGAAGACAAAGTGCGCAGTCGAATTGCGAAACTGCTTGCTGGAGGCAGCACGTGCATTTGTTTTGTACTCTAACACCACAAGCGGTTCACAGGGGGACCCCACGCTTTGCGTCTTATCTATATGGCCAGAGTGGAGCCAAAGGCGCAACGGGAAGAGAGGCCCTGCTTGTTGGAGGGAGCACGCGCATTTGGTTTGTACTCGAACAGCACAAGCGGTTCACAGGGACCCCCACACTTTGCGTCTTATCTATGGCCAGAGTGAAGCCAAAGGTGCAACGGGAAGCAAAGGCCTCTCTTATTCGATTTCCCAAAACGAGTGCTTTCCTTGTACGCTTGGCAGTAGATGGAACAACAACTGTGAACCCTATTAACAGTAGGTTCATCACGACAACCAAAAAAACAACCCTTCATGTATTCATGTGATTCCAGTTTCTTGTTTAATGTTATGATCCTGGCTATCTATCTAAAAGCGCAATAACTCAAAGAAAGACAATCCCATTCGTTGGTCAATGTTAGGATCCTGGCTATCTAGAAGTGCAAGAACTCAAAGAAAGACAATCGCATTCAAGGGGTACGTTTGGTCTACCACCCTTTTAAACTTCATATGTGCGTGTAAAAGAGAACAAGACCCAGAACTACAGAGCCAAACACTGCTTTTCATCTGTCTCAGTACGTGGGCATTTGCCTGGTTCACAAATGGAGGTGTTCTTGTATTAGTGTCAATGTACGTCAGGTGACGCCTTCAACTCTCTCTCTCTCTCTCTCTCTCTCTCTCTCTCTCTCTCTCTCTCTCTCTCTCTCTCTCTCTCTCTGTGTGTGTGTGTGTGTGTGTGTGTG